GGCTCAGTGCCTTTCCTCGCCCCTATCGTGACCTCGGCGTGGTTGACGCACAGTTGGAGAAAACTGAGGGAGCACCCTTCTGCCGCAGCAGGTTCCTCAAGGTGCACAACGAAAATGTACCTGGCAGCCAGTGGTCTGGAGCGGTCCAGATGTCTGGAAGTGCCGCGCAGGCGTCGAGCAGCCACGTAGCAAAGAGTGCTCCGGTTAGTGCATCCCACGCGCGGTTGAGCTCTGCTTTGAGGAAGGTGGCACAGCTGGAAAGCAAAATCATGAATCGAAAAAAGCAGATGGAATTGCAAAACACTGACGTGAGCCAGAAGCTTTTGGATGAAGAGTTGTCATCTGCTTCCAGTCATGAACACAGTGCAAGAGGCAAGAGATATCTGAAGAGTCACGCTGCTGCCAGCGGAAGCAGGACCCTCGGTAATGCCGGCTCTAAGGAAGAGGAAAGCATCCGAGGCCCCAAACCCAATGTTACAGTTAAAGAGCAGCTTGGTTTGGATAGTGATGAAGAGGAAATGAGAGAACTGATGGGAAGTTCTTTGGAGTTTTCCAGTGGAAATAAGAATCGGAAGGTTGTTGTAAGTGATTCTAAAAGGGGTGGAAAGGTAAATACCAACTTTATTTGATTACATATTTTTATTTACACTTCTATGAAATTGTGTTAAATTGATAGGTCACTTCTTGTTTAGATAACACCTGAAGCTAAATTTTTATTTTGCGTTTGTGGCTTGCTCTTGATATGATTTAGCTTCAATTTACATTTTAAAATTGCTCTTTTTCACCCATTATAATTTTTTACTGATCCGCACATAATAAATGAAGTAACACGTAAATCTTTTCCATGTTCTTCAAAAGAGTAAGACTCCAGGAACACAGTCTTCATTTCATAAGGAAATTTCACCAACAGGGGTGCCCAAAACATCTTTTTGTAGCAAAGACTCAGAGAAAAATGTTTTTGGCAGAGTTAACTCACCAACACCTTCACCAGCCAGCAGAAACCCGTCAGTAGGACATAATACAAGATCTCAATCGCTGTCTTCTTCTGTGAGAGACAACACTATGAAGATCACTCTGCCTAGAACAGGCAACACCAAGCAAAGCCAAGCATCACTTGCAAGTGACAGAAGTGAAATAAAATCATTAGATGAGTTGTTTTCAAAAGCATCTGATGCAGAAGATTCAATCAGCAGCAGCTCACATGGTGAGTTTTCAAAAGTATTGACTCTGCAGGCTTGGCATGAATTGTACTGATAATCTACTGATAAACTTACTAATAAACCTGGGCAAATTTTGAAAGGATCCATTGGTGTAATTTTACATAAACCAAGGCTTTTTCAAAGGAATTACGTTGATCCATTTCTTTTTTCTAGTGTAGCACATTTGTCTTTTTCTTGGCTTTTGTTTTAATGGGTTCAGTTTAACGATGCTTCCCTGGGTGACAATTATGATGTCAAAACAATTACAACATTTAAAATAGCTTTCGGGTATCAGTGGGACCAGGGACTCATGGGTCCGAGTGAGAACAAGCGTAAATGAGGGGCAGCAAGAATCTCTTGAATTCGGGTTAGCAGATCCACCGACAGGTGAAGGAAGAAACTTCAGAGGAGCTGCTGCTAAGTTAAAGGTTTGGAGTGATTGACTGCTGTTCCTTTTTAGTATTACACTTTTCTTGCCTAAGGGAAAGTACTGTAATTCTCATGCAAATTCTCACGACTACATCCTTTGATTGCAGACTTCAGACTGAATATCCTGAGCCTTGATGATTTGGCACCAGATATCACCAGTGAGGCAGAATTAAAGCAGAAAGTAAGTAGAAATTCCCTACGAGCACCTATTTCCATTCTGTCTTTTTTTGGTGGTGGGTGGATGTTCTAAAATAAATCTTTCTATTCTGCTTGCAGGTTACCTGAGGTGGGCATGTCTCACTGGCTGTGAGGGTTAGATCAGGATGTTACAGTCTGCTGAAACCTGACCAAATTATTTTTTTTAGTGTCTGCGTTTCCTTACTACACAGCACAGTTTGCAAGGTGACAAAGAAGAGCAGCGTTTTTATTTCCTAATAAAGGAGAAGCTAACACTCAGTGATACGCTGCAGAAGAATAACAGACGTTATTCTAGGTTATATTTTGTTGATTCTCATGACATACAGCTGTTTGGTTTTTTTTTACAGGAGACGGATATTCAAATTACCCAAGATTCGAACAGAAATCCAAAAAAAGATGCATTCCTGGTGGAAAAAGACCCACCTTCTCATAAAATGACAAGCGCAGTAACTGGTGTGAATGATGTTTCTGAAGGGGATATTGAAAAACCTGTGACTGAAGGTGAAATCTCAGAGCATTTAAGTGGAGTTTCTGCAGATTTCCCTCAAGGCAAACAGGATTATCTGGATCATGATGACAAAACTCTCAATTCAGAATACTCTGAAGACTTTGAAAGGTCTTCATCTACAACAGACAGGGAATCTGCATCAAAAACCTCAGAAGAACGTTCTGAGAGCTGCACATATTCTAGAAAACACTCATTTGCCTCATCACCACCTTTGTTTACCAGAGGGCGGCGTGAGCGGGGACACAGAGTAACTGTCAAAGAAACCGCGGTTCAGACAGCGGATCCTCCCTGGGCAACGAGTAAGTTCACGAGACATTGCACTAGGGGAGTATTTTTACTCTGTCTAGAGTTAGAAGGATGCCTTCTCCAGTGGTACATGTTGTGGACACAGAAGAAAATGTCGCAGAACTATTTTAGCTGGGTTTCTTTTCTGGCCAACAAAACTCCTCATTAGGCTCCACAATGGTTCTGTGACAACTGCCGAAGAGACGGCTGAACCGGGTTCTAGCGCTAAACCCTCCCACCCTCCAACCCCAGTCATTCTCACTTTATCCTCTCCCCAGCAAACGCCTCCGCAGTGCTTGACCCACCTGTAGGGAACAGTTACGTCGATCCCGTGCCTATCGCCAGTCATGTCGTCAGCACGGATGCAGTAGAAGGTACTGAAAAACAATTTTCTTACTGTTTTACTGTATTTTATACATCTGACCCCTGCTTGCACTGTTTAGCCCTTACCATCAGATTGCAATGTATCCCTGAAGTATATCCTCTCCGTTCCTTGCAGCCCTGACAGCGTACAGCCCCTCGGTTCTTGTTTTGAACTCCATGCTCAAACAGCATTTGCTGCTGACTCAGCAGTTCGTAGAGAACATTCACCACCTTCACCTCTCCCTTGTGGCGTCACTGGAGAAGGAGAAGTTCCACTACCACACCCTGGAAGAGGCTAAAGAGGTATTTTACAACAGACTGGACAGCAGCCTAGACAGACCAAGCGTGTATTCCTTTCCAAATGCTTCTAGTAGGTGGAGCGTACAAATTTTCTCCACATATTATTCATTGAATAAATTACTTAATGAAAAAGAGTGCTACTGCAACACTTCTCCCTGTATTAACAACACATCAGCAAAAAAAGACTTACTGGAGGCCATAGTTTTGAAAGAAGCAGCTTTCTGCTGTAGCATTTACCTGTCCCCAAACACACAAGTATTAGCTTCCGTTGCTAGTGTAGAAACGTGCAGCTATCTTGACATGAAGATTTACTATTTATTAAATACTAGAAAGTATTTAGCTACATACTAAGTTTGTCTATTAACTTTTTTTTTGGCAGTACATCAAGAATCACAAATCCCCACCTCTAACACTTGAGCAAGCACGTGAAGAAATTCGGAAAGCACAGGAGGAAAAACTGCTTTGACTCTTCAAATTTTAAGTAAATTTTACATTTACAGATCAAGCTGGAACAAGAAACCTTTGCAAATTGCACAGCTACAGTTACAAGCTCAGTGCTGGAACACTTTATACTAGCTGCTATGTATCTTATTATTATGTAATCTATTTTCCTATATTTGTATTTTTTCTAACGTACACGCTAGAGGCAGAGGCAAGAACCTTCAGCCAGGCTGTGTTAGTGTCCTGCAAAGCAGCAACCAAGAAAACCCTTCTCTCTCAAGGGAGCATGTCGGTCATCACAGGACGCACATTTATCATGTAAACTGCGTGAGCTGTGAGCACGGTAGAAATCAGTCTGTCCTACAGCACCCAGGAATAGGACCATGCTGGAAAAAGACCTTTAGTGCCATATTTAAATACTGTCTTTTGTATAATTAACCTCATCAAGATTGCTACAACACCAAACATACGCAAAGTTACGATCAATCCACTCCAGGGAAGGCTGACAGCCAATGCACGGGAACCCACGGACTCTGAAATATGAGCCACCACTTTGTTAAAAAAAAAAAAGTGTTTATTGGAAGGCAAAACAATAAAATTCACGAGTCGATAACATACAGGTGGTGTATGCTGATTCACAGACAGTTACAGTTCCACAACTACAGTAGATCTAGAACAAACTGATATTTCACCATATTAACTGAATGATTTTAAGAGGGTTTCTGCTATACAAACAACTGCCTGGAAGAGTTACCACCGCGCAGACCTCTGGAGTGGAAGTGCAGTGTAAGGGCCCAACCTCTTTAGCTGGTGGTCTCTGGAAACAGTTACAAAAGGTGTTTGGTTGTTTGTCTTTCTCATTTAGATTAAAGGAAGTTTCCAAGAACGGTTCATTGTCAGAAACCTGCAGAGGCAGAGAAAACTGATTCTCTTCTATTGAACTAATTAGCTTTTATTAAAGGGTATATACAAAAATATAAAAAGCTTAAAGAATGTCTTCCGTTACAAAGCATCAAACATCCCTTGAAGCGCGTGAAAAGCTACAACAGTGAACCCTCGTGTTGGGAGCAGAGTTGGGACTGCAGCGGCTGGTGTGTAAGGGCGTTAAGTTGGAGGGTAGGTTCTAACAAGCTCGCACAGTGCTCATAGGTCACCTGTACTGGAACTAGACGCTTCATTCCCCATTTAGACATTAGGATACACTGCTCAGCATCAGTCTGACTTGATCCCAAGGCAGCACCCCTCCACTTCAAATAGAATTAACCTTTTAAGAGAAATAAACATACATTATGGAACTAGAGAACAAAAACCGGTATCAGGTAACGTCTGTATTCCACAGGAATGAACGAATGAATGAAGGAGTGAATGAATCGCAATCCTGCACCAGGGACAACTGGACTGGGGTTTAATTCTAGTATCAAATGGGTAACCAATTAAAAAATTTTGCAAAATAAATGGAAATTCTTTAAACTCGCTAGACATGTCATGGTAACGACTGGCCTTTGTTTAAACACTAAATGACAAGTGTTGAAGTACATGTCATAGCTTTCCATTTTTCACCATAGTTTTAAAAGTAACTCATTTGTCACTTCCTCCAGACTTTAATCCGGATTTATACAAGTTTAATGTTTTGTAGAAGATGCAAGACATCTTTCTTCAGAGAGTCTTATTCGGGTGGTGGAGGGTCTTGCGTTTCACGCTTCACTGAAACAATAGGGAAAAGAGTGCTTACACATCCCGCGGTTAGCTAGGCTGGCTGAAAGGTTTCGGGGAACTAGGGCTCCATTAATCAGGAATTTTTCCTTCTGGGCTTTATTTGAAGCCATTTCATTACACAGATCTACTGCAGCCAGAGGCAGAAGTGACTTGTCATTGAGCACGCCAATTCTTTTCCTTTCAGTCACGGGCAAGTGTAGTTGTTGGATGTAACACAGACTCTCTGCAAAAATCCAAGATTTGGGTAATTGTCTTCACCTCTTAAGAAGCACCTCCACTTTTTCTGAACCCTTCCTGCACTCCAGTGGATTTAGGCCACGTTCTGGCTTTGGCAGAACACAGCACTAACTGCAGGAAACTCGGACTTGGGCAGGGCCAAACAGGATCGATTTGGGTTTACGAACTACAGTAAACAGGACAAAATCATTACCAACTCTGCACAGATTTTTAAATTGCTTAGAAACGCTCACTTACATTCGTCTCTGGCCTTCATGCGTGCGATAAACGAGTAACTCTTATTTCTTCGGTAGTTTTCGTAAGGGTCATCTAATGCAACTCCCACTCCTTTATATTGATCCCATTTGTCTCGGATATCTCCTCCTTTAATCGGATCCTGAATTCCTTGTTCCTTGGCTCCCAATCCTCCAGATCCGCTCCATCCTGCCCAAAGGACACAACATTGCTATCCTGTAGCTATTTTTTATTTTTTTTTACTACCAGGATTCTGCAGACGGACAAGCACAGGCCTTTTGGAAATCAACCACAGTGAGTGTGGATTTAACACAGAAGGACTAACAGGCAGCCTGAATCACCATGAGCTGCCCCATTTATTTCAAAAGCATTAATATGCAGTTTCAGAGAGCTGACAAACATCAGCACTACTCCTAAAAACCTTCAGGAGGGAACGGGAAAGACGGCACAAGCCCAGTCTGTCCAGCCAACCCCATGGATCTACACCCCAGGGAGATGGAAAACCTCAGAAAGTTCTGTCTGATGCCAAACTCCTGTCCCCATCTTCCACATCCTTCCCAGAAACAACCACCGCCACTGCGCCACGGTCTACGTGCCTGGATCTCCGAATATCCTTACACTGACCTTGGAATACCGAGGGATAATTACTTATGAACATGCATTAAGTAATTGTATCCAAGCGTTTGGCGCCTGATTTTCTCTCCTGGCTTGTACAAGATTCCAGAAGAACTTCTTACCCATTTTCACTAGCATTTGATGGCCTTTATTTTCTTCTCCAAGTCTTGATTCTGGTATAGGAGGCCCAGAACTGGAGCCCAAACCAGCAGAAGAACTAAGGGGACAGAAAGAACCAGTTAAGAACAAGTGATACTGTTCTGACACAAAGTTGTTTACATTCTGTTAAACATTAACACACAATATAATCTCATCCATTCTACTAAGCTATTCTTTCACAAAACTACAGATTATGGAGTTAAAAAGATGTGAAAACCATCCTGCTTTCTCGGAAGCTGCACAAAGCTTTCGCAGTCGCAGCGTTTTGTTAAAACCAAGAGCCACTGCAACAGAGCAACGTTCTCTCTATAGGTCCCTATAGCATAGAAATCCTTTCTCAATCTGCTTTCTTGTCTTCTTTTCTGCTATTTGTTGTAACGCTTATTACAGCCAGCTGACAAGAAAGCACCCTTCCTTGCTGGGACTTTTGCAAACAACTCAGGTAAAAAGGGGGGAAAAAAAACAAACCAAAACAAAAGCTTACGGAGGAGTGGGGCTGCGAGACCGGGATCGGCGCCGCCTTCCTGGGGAGTAAGATTTCGATCTTGATCGCGACCGTGATCGTGAGCGGCTGTGAGAGGAGCGCGACCTGCTCCGGCTTCTGGAAAGGGACAGCTCATGAGACACACAAGTTGCCAGAACAACACTCAGGGATCCTTGCTCAGCCCCCGGGGTTGGTTTCTTCCCACCTCCCACCAGTTCCCAGGATTCATCCCCTTGCACTCTACCTGGACTGAGAGCGTGAATAGGATCGTGATCGAGAGCAAGAGCGAGATCGTGACCTCGAATAGGAGCCAGAAGACTTTGAAGATCGCGAATTGGACCGGGAGGATGAGCGCCCTCGGCTTTTAGACCGACTGCGAGAGCGAGAAGGCCCGCTGCACGTACAGAAACAGAGAAACTCCAGTGACTCCCGAGAAAAGCACAAGTCAAATATACTTCTAATCAGATTCAAATTACACATGAGCACTGTTTCTGCAGACAATCCATGAAAACTTAAGTGTGGCAAAAACTATTTTCTGCAGATTAAAGAAATTCCAGCGAGCTGAAACTCAGTTATTCCATCAACATGTTGCTGAAGAGACTTTCCCTCTGCATTTAGCCCAAGGATTTCCTAGCACCTTCCAAAGGGGCAGCATGCATCAGAAGGCAGCAGACAAGATCACTCACCTGTTTCTCTTCTCCTGACCTTTCCTCCGCCTCGCTCTCATTTTAGCTCTGAAGAACTCGTACAGTCCGTTCTGCTCCCAGCCTTCACTGGAATAAATCAACCACACACAGAACCAACATCTGTCAAACTCTACTTTGATGGAGACGTTCAGGATTTCCGCCAGGTTTTGTAGGGAACAAAGGGCCTGGGGAAAAAGGTCTCACGAATCCCAGCGTAAGATCAAACAGCGCCATTTAACATACAGGGGGACTCATTTCAGCATTAGAAGGACCAAGACACAGGCGAAGGAAGAAGCACTTTGTGGTTCAAGACAGCTTCGCAGGGCATTTTCCTTACCGTATCATCAGCTGTACCTACTCTTACCTGTTTCTAGGCCTGTCGTGAGATGGTGGACTGTAAAATGCCTCAACCGCAGCCAGGAGTCTCTCACTGGGGGGCATTGGGGGTGGAAGACGTATATCTTTAGGATCTAAAGGTTTATACTCGTGATCTTCAAGCTGCCAGAGACAAAACAAATTACATTTGCATCGCGTGCCATGGGATGGCGACCTAAAGATAGATTTAACTGTGTAGGGACCTCACATTTCACTGTTGGATAAAAAAATGGCCCAGCAATAAGGATTCTGCGGATAACCCAAAGCTTCCTCGTGTCACCACTACCATTTGGATGCCTGTGAGAAAAGCCAGCATGCCCCAGGCTACAGCATTAACCGGATCACCAGGCAGATAAGATGCAGATCTCATCGATCCACCTTTGTGGTAACAGCGCCTGGATGGAAGCCTGGCTGAGAGTGACACAAAGTTAACGATGGAACAGCTGTATTTGTTCACAGAATACATAAATGCATACACCCCTGAAGATGCTGATGCAGATGGATTGCCTGTTCTCTCTC